GGGGGGGACGGGTAAGAGCGGCCATCGGGGACGGGGGGGACCAGCACCCCCAGCCGGCCCCTCCGGGGGGGACCGACACCCCCAGCCGGCCTCGGGGGACCGGCCGGAGGGGCAGAGGCCACGATGAGGGGCGCAGAGGCCGCCCGGCCCAGCGCGCCGCAGTCCCCGAGGCCTTGAGGCCTCCTTGCACTGCCCTGAAGCACCGGGGGGGGCAGCGTGGGAGTGAGAGGGGAGCGGAGGGAAAACCCCGACAGAAAATCACCCCTCGGGGGCCTGGGGCAGCCCAGGCTCTGCGCTGCCGAGCGCTGTGGCTGGCTGGCCAGGAAGGTGCTGTGCTGTTACCGTGTGTAAACCTCAAAGGAAACCCCAAATCTGTGTGTGGGGAAGGCAGGGGGTGGGGAGCCACAGTGGGCCTGGCTGAGGGGATCTCGCCGAGCGCTGCCACCCTGGGGTGGGCAGGTGTGGTGAGGAGGGGTGTTGTATGGCACTGCTGTGCCGTGCTCGGTGCGCTGCTGATGGGGCGCGAGGTCCAGCCCCCAAAAAGGAGCTTCTTTTTTGTCTCTTTTCACGTGAATATATTGTCTACACAGTGGTGGGGAACAACCTCTGCACTTGGGCAGTGTTTCAGCCCAACTCTGGCAGCCGGGAGAGGTCCCTGCAATGCCTTTTCCTAAGACACTGAACTGTGAGGTATCAGGATTCAAAAGGTAATTCCCCAACGATTTTGAACCAGGCTGTGTTCCTCAGTCTGTGATTTCTCCCAGGCCTTCCTGGGGAAATAGATAATTTTTAAAAATATGTATATATTTCAGGCCTGTTTCTTCAGCGTCCACGAGAAATTGGATTTGTGGTGTTTGAACCCAAACGCCTGCTCTTGGGGTTGTTCCCAGGCAGAGTTAGCATCGTCTGAAACAACAGACGGGCCTGTGAGGCTGCCTGTGGTTGGCTCCGGTACTGTGTTAGTTACAGAGGTTTTCTAGAGAGCTTCGCTGGATTTGGTTTTGTTGGGGTTTTTTTTGTTTTTTTTCTGAGTCTTATGTTTTATTTAGGAGATGTACTTACTATAAAGGATTCTTGAGATAGAAAGGGCTTTTTGCTGTCAGGAGCAACATCATAAAAATTGGATTTCTGCAGCTCCCTTCTCATACCCTATTCCCTTTGTATTATTGGTAATTACGTAATGGTAAAAGAACCTTAAGCAGAAGATGTAGGAAGACACAATCTCTGCTCCCAAAACCCACTGTTGAGTTACAAAAACAACAGAGTGAGTGACAGGTGGCAAATAGCAAGCAGGGGAGAAGGCTAAAAGAGATCTCTAATTCTATCAGTTTAATGAGTTCTTTCCTTATCAGCTTCAGCCTTGTCCAGATCTGCTAAGTGGCTTTTCTTAGAGATCGAATGACTATGAATTAGCGTGTGACAGCTCCTTTTGTTACACAACTGACCAGATTTTCGACAGTTCAATCTCGAAAGAGCTGAGTTGTTTTCAAAGCCTGGCTGCTAACCCGAGCACACAGACAGCAGCTGAGCTCTTCTGAAAATTAAACCTCGTGCAGGGCCAGATTGTGAGGCCGCAGGGCATCCACCCACCCAGGCAATACCCAAGGCCTCACAGGGTGCGTCCAGGTTTTTCACCCTGATACTTCCCCAGGGTGGAAAGCCAGCTGTGGGAGCCAAGATAACCACGATGCTTGCGCTGGGAGCCTGTGTTCAGATCAAATCTGTGTGGCTGCATCCACACCGAAGTGGCAGCGAGCCAGACTGTCTTGGGAAGTACTGGCCTAGGAAATGTGATACAGTATTTTGGGGGGAAATCAGTCATTCCTTCGTTTGCAAAAGCGTTTTCTGTCTGGGAGTGCAGTCCATGAGCAGTCCTCGCTCTCCACTCTTCTGCCCAGGGAGTGGATCTAGCTCAGGAAAGGCATCTGTGGGGATAACCTCAGCCCCGGGTCTTCCTGCTCCCGGGCTCTTTGATAACTTTTAGAGTGGTGTAGAACAAAGACCTCACTTGTCTTATTTCTACCATCGTGAAAACCGCTGTTGTTTTACCTTGGACCACCCGAATACCAGGGGCTGACCTCCTCTTGAGAAACTGGATAAGCACTAAACCTCCGTGTGCAACCATTTATAGAGCTTTAACCCACATGAAGGCCACTTCCATCAGCAAAAAAGAAACCTTGAAACTAAAAAGCCAAACTGCAGGTGGACCTTGTTTATTAAGCAAAGGTTTTTTTTGTTTTTTTTTTTCCCAGCAGATTTGAAACTGAGTTGTATTTTATAAATTGCAAATATAAAACATGACTATTTGTCTTGTCCGTGATATTTTCTTAGTAATGAAGAAGCTGTTTCTTGCTTCACTACAGAAGTCAGGAAGTGAAGCCACGTTTTGCCTGGAAGACAAAGGCACACAGCACATTTCAAGGACGGGTAGGGCAGGTGCCCCACAGAAGCGAGGGACCTTTTCGGTGGGGTTTTTTTCCCCTCTGATGCTGAGGTGACACTTAGCAGGAAAATATTTTTCAGTGTTGTAGCAGGAGTTGAGAGAATCGATGCATTACTGCGTTTGGAGATTTAAGACACATGAACAGGCAGCTAAATCTGCACTGGCTCTCATTAAATTAAGTACTCCTGAATTTCTGCTTGCAAGTAACAACCAGCATGGAGATGAAAGCCTGCATTTTGTTATAGGCTCACCAATATCATGTTTTCATGAACCATTTATGAGCAAGCCTTATGAATAATTATTTTACTCTGAGTCTGGACGGTTTTAAGGGCACTGATAGAAATTTAAGATTATTCAGCTTCACGTGGCTACTGAGTTGAACTTAACTGCTTAAAAGCTCTATAGGTTGGCTGAAAATAATCTGAGCTACATTTCCTGTTACAGTAAAAGAAGCATGGACGTAGTCTCCCTGCAGAAATACACAGGCACCTTCGCTGAAAGTGTATCATATACATCTATATACACACACACACAAATGTCTACACAAATTCTGTAGGTGCGTCCCCGTGGTTTTATTTGTGTGCACAGTTATTTTTAAGCGTATTCAAAACTGTAGCAAATGACTAGCTAGAACTGAAACTGTTTTCATTTGCAGTTACGGTGGATGCACACGCTATCACAGCAAGCACGCGAGGCTGTGAGCGGGCAGCCTTCTTAGAAACCACCTCGTGCCGCTTCTGCTGAGGCAAAGAGGTATTGCGCCTTTGAACCTGTGCACCACATCAAGAGTGAAAGGAAAATAAGACGCCGAGGACCTCGGTAAACATGGATTAGCTTGTTTTACTGTAACCACTTAAAAATGGCAAAGGCAGCCTCGAGTTCTGCAGAAGTCAAGTGCTTTGCCCGATTTCTATAATAAGGCCTCACGCACTGCCTGCTTCCCACATGGTGTGTCGCGAGTCAAACAGGACTCGGAGTAGGTGGGGCCTTCACCAGACAGCTCGGTAAGACTTCAAAAGTTTCAGTTCCTGAACAGGTTTTGTAACAACACCACCCCGAAGCAAGAGAGATTACAAGACGGTTTGGTCCTGTTGAGTCACCAGCCAGGGAGGCTTCAACTAAAGCTCCCGGAGCTGCTCATCCCGGTGTGTGCCGCTGCGCTGGCAGCAGAGGCAGAGAAAGCAAAAGCACTTCGGGCTGGATGAGCCGGCAGAAAGACGTGTGCTTAGATATGGCTGCATCCCACTAGCAGAGTCCAATGTCATCCTTAAAACCACTTCCTCCTGCTCGTCAGCAGCATCCTGTGTGATTTCCTGCGTTGTTTTGTAAGAGCAGTCCAAATGAAAGGATTCCTCATTTATAGAAAGCTGTTTTCTGTCTTTAGCAGCTTTTCTTATAAATCTACTTCCAAAACACCTCTTTAAAGCAGTTTTCTAACAGGCCCACCACCACCCCCCCTGGCATTCAGAATATTTCTACAGTCAAAACCCTTTTCATGGCTTTTTTTCAGTTGTTTGTTTGTTTGTTTTTTTTAAATACAGCTATTGTTAACATAGAACCCCCAAAATTCACTCTTGTCTGTTACAAAATATATTTTCCGAGATACAGCTCAGCAAAGTTTTTATTGCATTCGTAAGAGCTAATTTTTCACTGAAATCACCTACTGATCTTAATAACTACAAACATCTTAGGCTTCATTTCAAAAAGAAATTAATTTCCTTTCCATCCTCATCCAAAATCCACTGTGAAGAGCAAATGTATTCCGAGTAATTTGCATGCACCATGCACCGTTCCTACTATTGTTAGGATATCACTCCCTCCCACAGGCACGTAAAGCTGCTTACTCAATGCTTAAGGCCAAACTCTAATACTACTTTGATGGATCCTAAATTGAGGTAAGTTGGCATCTTCTGGCAGCTCCTGAAACTGAGCTTTGGCAGAAATTTAACCTCCTTTACACTCAATTAGATTCTTTTAGTCTCACTTAAACTGCCACCCACCTTCCATTGTGTGTTATAAACCCTTCAAACACCCTAAAATTTCTTCTTTTATATTAATATGTAGATTAAATCAATTTGCCTTCCTGCTAGTCATGTTCATCGGGGTACAAATCAATCTAAGGAGAACCCAGCTGAGGCAAAGGCAGACTGCTTATACTCCACCATATCCCTCTGCTCCCAACATGTTATTCTCTGTGTCTTGGTGGCCTGTCTACTTAGAGTCAAACCAATTTACTCAAGCTCTTTTGTCATTAAGAACATTGTCAATGAAATAAACCCCGAGGATCTGTGTAGCACAGACAAAGTCGAAGGCTTGCTGGCGCTGTGGGGACCAAACGTCTTTGTTCCTCCTGACCAACAGCATTTCCTGTGATAAGAATAGTTTCTGGTTACCACAGGCTGGCATATATTTATGCACAAATTCCAGTTTCTGAGAACTAAATGAGTATGCCTCGGGCTGCCCTTCGTGTGAAACTTGACAGGTTTGGTTCACACGGCTTGGTGTGAAAAACCAACCTGGGCTCCCATCGTCCGTCCATGGGTTTGTACTGATTGTCCCCAGGTCCTTCCGCTCCAGCAGGCACCTCGCCGCGTTTCAGCCGTAATATCTGCGTTTAATCCATCTTTAGGATAATTTTCACCTGCAGCCATTAGCCGCCTTGTGTTAATCTGCACCCAGCTAGGGCTGAAATCAGGATTTAGACTTCAGGTTTTATTCTACAATGCCGGTATGACTCCAAGGAACCCATTCTGGTCGCAACAAGCTAAATCCAACAGCGGTTTCTATTTTACACAGACTGTTTTCAGAAGCTGTTGGCTTAACCCCGCCTGTCTTCTCTGTCGTGAGGACATCCTAAGCGTGAGACATCTGTGTCTGTGTGCCAGCCCTTTATTCGGGAGCTGGGGTTTCTCAACATTGGGACTGTGGTCAGTGCTCCCTGGCTGCCGCGCGTGCTACAGGTACACAGCAATAGCAGCAAGTGATGAGCCAGAACTCTCTGAGTCCCGGTTTTCATATGGGTGCTGATGTTTGCAGTTGTTAGTCAGCTAATTACCCTTTGTGGCCTCAGTCAAATGAGGATTGTGCTACTTGGGATCTTCCCAGGCCTCTTAGAAGGATCAGTTGGTTAATGTATGTGGGAGGTTAAAATAGATGTGGTGCTTCCTGAACAACAGATGTGTCTCGATCGCCTGAGTATTTGACATCCGTTGGCTTGTACCTTCTCCACTGCTTTCAGCAAGAAATATCAGCAGGCACAAGGCAGTATCTTTGCAATTTTTATACTTGGCAAGGTCGTGGCAGCCTTTTGTGGCTTTGACTCACTCCCTCAGCTCACGCTGCAGCTGGGACAGCCACCAGTGACCTCGGCGTCTGGACTGAGGTGCTCTGCCTGGCCCCACTTCCCTGCCGATGGGAACTGTGGAGCTGCACTGACTTAGGCTGGCCAGTGCCGGGCGCCTAGGTCCTGCCTTTGATTTGGGTCTGGTTTAGGTCACAGACTGCCTTGGAATTGAGGAGGGCTGTGAATCTCAAGATGTACCTGGCAAGGTGACATGGCCTGAGCTACTAAATCAAAACACAAGCCATGGCAGACTTTCCCTGTGGTCTCTGAACATTTACAATCTTCCTCGTTTACTGCGCAGGTGAAATTATTCCCTGTTAAACTGTGTTTCTGCTGCAGGTATTCTGCTTCCGTGCAGAGACGGCGTTTCTCAGAACTTGACAACATCGTTCTTTAATCAACTGAATTGGACTTTGAATCTCATGAAGTGGCAGGAACTAAGTACACTGTGTCTGTAATGCCCCATCTGTCTTCTGTGAAGCTGCACAGAGTGCAGCCAGAGGACCTTTGGGCTCATCTAAAAACATTACACTCCAAACGAAACCTGAACTAAAAATAGTAATTACTGGAAAACAAAGGGGACAACCTGACCCCACAGTTGGCAGTCTCAGTGCAACAGCAGCGATATGTAATTGTCTGCGTATTTCTGAGCTACACTTGAGAACAGCTTCCAGGAGCTTCCAAGTAGAGATTCACACACAACTCTGGCAGATGGTTTCTCCTTGCAGGAGAGAGGGCTCCTTGGGCTGTCCAGGCCCTGTCCCAAATACAGATGAGGCTGTTTGGCATAGTGCAGCTCAGCTACCTGCAAAACCTCTCAAGTGGGCCAGATCTGACTCTGTTACCTGACAGCAGAGAATTTGAACCAAAGAGTGAAGCTCTTGGTGAAATAGGACTGGGTCATTGGGGAAGTGATGGAGCGTGTGGTGGCAGAAATCCCAGCGTAGGTCAGGGTGGGTGGTGCCCAGATGCCCTGCCACCAAGGTGGAGAAAACAGGCACAAGTGTGAGAGATGATAAAGATCTGAGTTTGCTGAAGCTAAAGGACAGGTCAGCATCGAAGCCGCAAGCAAGTTGCATGTCTTCTGAGCCTGAATACTTTTATTCACTGGCCATGCTAAAGAAACTATTGGTACTGCAAATTAGTACTAATGTTACTGAGATCTCTTCTAGCCACTCCTTGGGCCAGATGACCTGTCTATTTTTTCGTTGCAAGTATACCAAGTAACTCCAGAAACCTCTGTCCTCACACACAAATATAATTGTCCTGTCATCTTCCTCTTTTCCCCCCTTTAGGTTGCTTTGCAGTTCACAGCTAAAGGAAAGATGACTTCAAGACAGAGATTCACACACACACAGAGGACTGTTCCCAAACCAAAAGCATCCCTGCGTTTAACACAGCCCAGGAGAGGGCAAGGTTTCTGGTATTTGCTGAGTCCACTGCTGAGAAAATGAACTCCATGCTGGCCTCCCACATCTTCATGATGGATAACAGTTACTTGAAAGAAGCCGAGCCCAGCATAGACAAAGAGCAGAAAGAAAGAGCCCGTGGTCCTCGGGCTGCTCAGAGCAGCAGAAGCCCACAGTCACCTCGACGCTGGAGACTCTGCTATCAGGAGCTGGGGGTAAGTTAATTACCAGAGGATCTCTCAGCGGGTAGCAGCGAGGGGCAGGGCTAATGAACGCAGTGTATCAGTCAGACCCGTTCAGCCTATCCTGAAATGTCACTTTTCAGCTGATCTCTGTATGATTAGAACCAGGAACAGCAGAAATAAAAAGTACATTTGTTTTTTTCTCTGCGTGTTCAAGTTTCTCCACGGCTTTTCATGGGAGGGCACCCTCTAATCTGTGCTGTGAAATGGCATTAAACTGGGGGAAAGCATCTTTCAACAATTACCGTGGACGTTTTTGCATGCGGCAAAATCCTCTCGCCTTACATTAGAGAAGACGTGAAGTTTGAAAGTTTGACCCACAATTCTATGGTCCTTTATACCAGGTTTGAGCACTACTGGATCATTTAGCAGGACAAATTCAATCCAGATCATGCCTGGGCACACAATTATGTTTCTGTTGAATTAGGCAGAGTACATAATACAGCGTTTGTGCTGGCTTGATGCCGGCAGCAGGAAGAAAGACAATATCTAATCTGGCATAAAGCCTACCAATACAGACTAAATGTCATAACTTTCTGAACAATTTTGAATGGGATCAGGGCGTTGGGTTGAGCTGTCTAGTATTTTCTATCCCGGAGCACTAGATTCAGATTTCCTCTATCATCCACCTACGACCATTTTTGCAGTATTTAAAGTGTCTGGTTTCTCCATACAATTTTCTCTCATTATGCCCCCTCACAGGAGCCCCTTGTCCCATTTGAGGTTCTTGTTGTAGTCCATGATAGTGCTGTACTCTACACGTCATCGGGATTTCTCTCACTACAGCCTTTCACTGTTGCCCCCAAGGTCCTGCGGAGTTGCATGTGCATGCAATTGTGGGTAAATTTTGTAACACAAATATCACAGTTGGTTTTTTTGACTGGAGCAATGGATGCACGCTGGCTCTCACCTGCTCACGCAGTTACCATCAGTAACCATGGGAGCTGGCAGCGCCGATCTCTCGGTCCATCTTTCTAATGGGCATTAGTGGCATCTGATTTCTGAAGGGATCAGCGCGGCTGCCTGCCTCCCTAATCCAGAGCTCGTGTTGGAAAAGACTACACTCGCTCTCACTCAGGGGAAGGTGCTGTTTTCTAAGAAAACCGACTGAGTGCCAGGCTGTCATTCACTGAGGAACTTAGAAGAATCTCCCCTCTGAGCTTTTTTTACCTGCTGACACTTCTCATCCAGTCAGTTTTACCAAAGTAATCCTTCTAATTCACAGCTACAGGCTGGAGTTTCTCTGTGTAGTCTTTGGGAGAAACCCATTCGGGAAAAGTTGCTTATTTTAGAACCCACAGCTCAAGGAAGATATTTTTCCCTAATCCTAAACTAAATGATATCATACTTGGCTAGTGCTGTAACCATGGTACTGAAGTTATTTATGACTCTGAAATTAATGCTATAGTTAGCAACACTGGAACAGGGTTTCTTCTATGCTACTGTCCAACTGCCTCCCTCCTCCAGCCCCAGGCTACACTGGAAAGCAAGACAGAATGTCTCCAGAGGGTCTTTAATTTGCAGTAAACAATGTCAGCCTTTGCTGATTTCCAAAACTTGGCAACACACAAGTGGATGTGCACAAAGATGCGTCTTCTAAGCAAAACAAAGCGCTTTGGCGATGTTTTTATTGATCTTATTTTGTTAGGAGATTTATTTGTTTTTGTTTATTTTAGTTCTTAAAGTAAATGTTAATTTCCGTGAAAGGACCTGGAACTGCATTGTGCGGAGCCAGGGCTGGCAGGAGGAGGGAGAGCTCGGTTGTACACTTACTCATCAGCTCTAGCATCGGGGAATCACCGCGAGGGCAAAGAGGGGGAGTCAGCTTTTATGCCTGGGACACTGCAAAAGTCACCTCATCAAAATGGATAGCCTGTGTATACAAGATATCTGGGGAATGAACCAACATTATTCCAGTCTGATCCCTCTGTGAAAATCCCAGAGAAGCTTGGGAAGAATCGAGCAGAGTAGAAAACAGAAGATACATAGAAAACCACACAACACTGAATCCCTCCTGGTCAAAGATCAGGCAGCTCGCTGCCTTCCACGGGGCAGATCATGGAGAGCAAAGCTCACGGCCACATCCTGAGGCTCAGACGGTGGCCGAGGGACCCCGGCACCTCTCAGCTCTTCTGGGGGTCTTGTGCCAGCAGCAGTGGCTTCTGCGTGCCTTCCACAGCACATCACCCCGCGAGCCAGGGAGTGAAGAGAACCATAAAACAAGACTTCAGTAAAAGCACTGCAAATAGAAAAATAAAGTGCAAAAAGAAGAAAGTGGAGGAGAAATATTACCAAATCCCAGAATCATCTGGGTTGGAAAAGCCCCTGAAGCTCCTCCAGCCCAACCATGACCCTCCCCCTGACTGTTCCCAGCTCCCCCAGATCCCTCAGCGCTGGCTCAGCCCGACTCTTCAACCCCCCCAGGGATCCCGGGGACTCCCCCCTGCCCTGGGCAGCCCATTCCAACGCCCAACAGCCCCTTCTGCACAGAAATCCTTCCTCAGAGCCAGCCTGACCCTGCCCTGGGCAGCTTGAAGCCATTCCCTCGGGGCCTGGCGCTGGGGCCTTGGCTCCAGAGACTCACCCCCCCTCTCTGCCCCCTCCTGGCAGGGAGTTGCCGAGGGCCAGGAAGTCTCCCCTCAGCCTCCTCTTCTTTAAAGACTTCTCTAGAAAGAAGAGACAGAGCCAAGAAGCGTGAGGAAGTGATGGGATACCGCACTGGGATGCAGGGTACAAGGGCAGCCCACCTGCTGCTCCACGACCAAGGGCAGTTTGAGGGAATTTAGGCAGCTCGTGTCACAAAATAGGCAAGCCTGTCTCCATCCTCAGTGCCTGCAGACTGGCAGATCCAGCACAGCATTTCTGGTCGTTCGTACCACTACCATGCTTCCATTTGCTATAACAGTCTGACTGCATGTCAGTTCTGCTGCCTGAATGAGCCTTTTTATGCTGCCTTTGAACACCAGTTTACCCAGCAGCCTAATTCTGCTCACCCCAAGAATAGCGAGGAGCCAAACCATTACCCCCTGGTTTAGGGCTTTTCAGATACTCCGGCCTTGGGGCTTTACAACTCAAGTTGATGGAAGAAAGCCTCAATGCCTTCACTAAGAGGTAGATAAGGCATTCTGGGAAAATTTATTGGGGGAAAATGCAGCATTTATTTGGGGTTTCAGTTTTATTTTGGTTTACAGTCTAAACTTCTAATTCCCAGAGCCACAATTCTCCCATTGCCTTCACGGGATTTATATTGGAGTCACTTGACCGCGTTTTGCTATGTCTAACATGATTGCCTTCTTTATTTTTTGCTTTTTTTATTTCTTTCTCCTTTTGACCACAGGCGAAGGAAATAAATCATCTGGTACCCTGCCAGCAAACTGCCACAGGCGCTTTGAGACTGGAGGCGTTTCTCCTGCCCCGAAAGAGCATTAAAAAAAAACCCTGGCTGATAACTTGGACGGGGTTCAGGTATGTTTGTGCACATACCAGCAGTTAAAGTGATTTCTTCTACTATCTTATCTGTCCATTTCTGGTTTTAAAGGGGAGGATGTCTGGCAGGCAAGTTACTCTTGGAATGCACTCAGTAAACCACGGGCGAGAGAAGTGAAGAGCATAAATAGAAATAACCATAGGTGCAGCAGCTGGGAGCCTGACTGCTGGCTACTATTCCTAGCCTTACCCATGACTCATTTGGTGACCTTAGAAAGCCACTTCACCTCTCCATGCCCCAGCTTTCTCACAGGCAAAACTCCCCCATTTCACAGGTCACCCCAGGTGGAGGGACCCCGGGTCTCCCAGCTGGGTGTCTCTGGAGGAAAAGCTTCATCCTACTCCCTCCGCCAGCCCCGGGCCGTGCCAGCGTGCGGGATCAGGGCTTTGTCCCCGAGGGGAGCTGGCAACTTTAACCGAGTGCATTTTGTGAAGCTTTTTGGGTTCCATCAAGGAAAGGAAAAGCACTATAACAAAATGTTGCTAATTATAGCGTGACAGCGTACAACACATTCCTGCTCTGAACAGAACTCTGCTATCAGCCGACTTAATTATACATTACCTTTGTCCTGTTCCCTCCTCATTAATCGTGGCCAAAGCACTGAGCAAAACCAATTTGCTGCTTGCTTGCCATTTCTCCTTATTCAAGACCAATTCCTTGACAGTGACAGCTAGACCGTGAGACTGTCACACTGGGCTGGGTCTGCTCCCCTGCCTGTAGGAGCTCCCCGCACTAGCAGTTGTAAACATGTCTCTCCACTTTATTCCTGCTCGCCTGGAGCAGATTCCTGGGATGTTAATGCCAGATACAGCCCTGGCCTTGGACGGGCGGTCCCATGGCTGGAGCGGGATGGAGCTGCGTTACTTCACCAGGACCCTGCAAACCCCCTGAAATGGGCCACTGGAAAAAACAGACCCTGGTTTTGCAGGGAAAGCTTTTTCGTGGTGTTTGGGTCAGAGAGGTGACCCTGCATCCAGCTCAACCCCAGGGTGCAGCGCAGGGAGGGTCGGACGCTTGGTGCGAGCAGGAAAACTGCAGTAAAAGCCACAGAGCCCACCTACACCGTCAGCCCCTCTGCGTGCCTCAGGACCGGCAGCAGCACAAAAGCATCCTGGATCAATCTAATTTCTGTATAAAAACAGGAAACTGCCCCTCCCTTCGCCAAAACAGAGGAAGAGCCGCATGGCCTCTATCTGTGTCACCAAGAAAAGGGGCAGGGGAAGGAGCAAACGGCTCCCTTCATCTTCCCCGGCAGCGGGTCAGAAGGAGGACACCTCAGGTCACTCGAGGGGGACTTTTAAGTCTGTCCCCAGAAACGTCAGAAGATCTCTGCTCCAGCGGCGCTCAGACCCGAGAGGCTCAGACCTCTCCTGACCCCCCGCTCCGGCAGGAGAAGCAGATGGGGTTTGGTACAGGCAGCAGCAGGGCAGGGCTGCCTCCCCGAGACCCCCTGGGCCACAGGGATTTCATACGGGGCCACCGGTTGGGATTCAGTGTGGGCTCGTGGCACCTGAACCCCGGTGTTATCTGATGGTTGTTCGGGGACCTGGAGGGAAATGAATCCTCACACGCGAGCCCGCCAGCCCTCCCCTCCTCCTCCAGCAGTCACAGCAGGGAAAGCCGAGATTGAGTCAAGGCTGAGAAAAAATAAACCCTTTCCCTTCGGAAACAGTGCCTCCCACACTGGACCAAGCATTTTCAGGCAGGGGGAGGTCCTTAATTTTGACACTTTCTGTAATGAAAAACATCTTAAGAGTGCAGGGATGTCAAATAATACCTTCCCTCTGTCCCACATCCATTACATAAAGAAGAGGGGAAAGTGAGAAAACATCTATATTCCTGCTTCTTGTCTTTTTTTCCCTTGGACTGAGGAGAATCCACCGACAGCTCTAACCTGGGAAACAGCATCTGAGCCAGCATTCCCTCAGCGCACTGCACCCTGCTCCCCTTTACTCCACCATCTCACGCTGCTTTTGTGTTACAGAGGAGTCACATAAAGGCAATACTAGAAGACGAAATAGCTGGAATATTTGTTAGAAGACCCTGAAACTGTGAGGAATTCTTTAAAATAATTCAAGACAGCTGACGAATTGGGATGGGGGACCAGGAATAGCCAGGTGTTTCAGCTACTGAGTTAAAGAAATTATTTCCCAACCTGTGCAACAGCTTCAGCTACAGTCGATGGGCCTTCAGTATCGCAGTGTGGAAGAGCTAGAGGAACAGACATGTTGGCCGCGTGAGTTAGCCCAGGATCTTGCTAATGTAAATGTAAACGTAAACCCTGCAACTTGATTGTGTTTGCTCTGGAACTGCACGAACAGAAATCAGGTCCTAATCGAAGCTTTACCCACTTCGCTGTCACCCGATCAATTAGAAATAGGAAGTGTATAGCGTTAAACCAAAACCCACATACAACAGTTGGTCTGCATATAGATGTTGTTCTCGGCTTAACATACACGTGAGAAACCTCAAAGTCACGAGCAGTTTTTCCTGACAGTGAGTCCTGGACATTGCTGTGTTAAAACAGAAATATCAGAATGATATTTGTTCACGCAGTCATAACCATCATTCCCTTTGTCTGCTGTCTTGTAGCCGGCAGGTCGTGAACACTTGTGTTTAGAGGTGTCGGCCGAGGAATCCAACCTGCAAATAAAGAACAGCAACAGAAGTTGTGGTTTTGTTATTACTGCTCGAGACTGAGATTGTGTGAGAAAAACACTTTCCAGCTCAGATGGAGGAAATGGAAAGCACAAAGATTCATTACTTTGCTATTCAACAGAGCAGATTTCTAATGAACTGTGTCTACCAAACAATTTAGAGATTGAGGAAGTGATGGAGAGATGCTCTTTATGCAAGTAGAATAAAAATCAGAAAATACAGTTCGCGGGCTAGATTACGTGACCAAGAGTATCTTTACCTTCCCCTCTTGTGCAAAGTATTTTCCTTATAGACACTTGCCCTTGACTTCTCAAACCTTCCCCTCAAATACCCTCTTCCCATCTCTTATAATCTACATCACCTTCCCCCTGCAGCCAAGGAGCAGAGACTTTTTACTAGTTCTCCAACACACCTGCAGGAGCTGTTCCACCCGCCTGCAGACTTTTGTACAGAGACCAGACCAAACTGTGCTCATTTTTCACAGGTGGAAGGTCTCCAAAGAGTCTTTCAACTCCTTCTACATTTTTAAAAGTCAGAGATGCTTTTGAGCTATCCCAGCAGACCTAGGTTGGAACAGGCTGGATCTGGCCCAGCTTTTTCCACTGTCCATCTTGTGATCGAGGAAAGGGCACAGCCGTCCAGCTCTCCTCTGCCTGCCTTGATTTCAGCCACAAGTAACCAGAAGAGTCCAGTTTTGTCCTTATTGTCACCACTTCCAGCTCCTTCTGACACGCTTCAAACAAGAGCTCGGCTGTCTCTCAAACAATGACGAGAGTTTGAGAGAACCTCCGTAGATCACCGAGAGGCTCAGACAAACACCGTGGAGGTGACATGGCTTAGTGCCCCAAGACCCTGCCAGCTTGTACCACCGGGCAGCAGAGCTGATAATTTGCAGCGATTCCTTCAAGGAGGACATTTCTACCAGGCTTTGGGGCTGCAATACCAGTGCTGCTCTTATTAGTTCCATCCTCGAACACCAGCACTGGCCCTTTTGGCTTCTGCTAAGCTCCCTCTCCCTGCCCGCCCCCTCCCAGCTTGGCACTAAAAAGCAAACAAACAAGTCTGTGAGCTGCAGAATTTGCAGAGTCTGGCTTTCAACAGGCTGGCGTCTCTTGGGGGACTGACCTGGGTGCCTGAGAGGGCACAAACTCTGACTGAAGCTTTTCCCACGGTTCGGGCATCAATCAAATGTCAGATCCGTGTGGATTCTCTACTGTCTAATAAGGTCTGGCAGCATGTGTTGGCCTTTCTCACAGTTGCAGCCCTGGCAGGGTCATTCTTGACCCAACTGTTTGTACATGCAGGAGCTCTGTACCTCAGTCAGTGTGGGATAAAACTGGCCAAAGGGTTAAAAAGTTTTTAAAGAGAGGAATTTGGAAGAATATGAGTGCGCTGATATACAGTATGATTGCATAAGCTGTGTTACATTAGGAAATCAAAATAATCAACCCTTTTCCCTCTGATTGTGATAGGATTTATAGTTGCGTGGCTCCTGGTAGTGCAAAAGCCTCTTTTAAACTTTGCTCTACAACCTGTGGAGAGCCACACTCCAGAACTTCAAGTTGTTGCTTTATCTTCAAGCTTAAGGAGAGGAGAGACAACCTGTACACTTCAGGGCCCTGGGGGAAAAACGTGACCCCAACCAGAATGACTCTTAAGTCAGCACGTGAGCAGTCACGGGGAGCCGTGGAGATAGGGCGGTTCGTTACGCACCTGATAGCTGAGGTAGAGATCCGTGTGGGAAATGTGGCTCTGACATTCCCCGGGAAGCTCTGAGGCCTTAAAAGATCAAAAAAAAAAAGGCTGTAAAAGATACCCAGGTATTTCTCAAAAGGGAATAAACTAGCTGTGATGGGACTTCATAGCTCAAAGTAGGTATTCTGCAAAGACAGCTCTGCACCTGAGACACCCCGAGTGGATTTACACCCCAGAGTAGGGCTGGTCTCCAGGGCAGCACCCACCCATGCCAGCTCTTTGCCTGTGAGGTGAGCATCCTCAGGAGGTGCATATGCAGGGTCAGGACGAACACGACCTTTGCAATCTCGGCTCTGACAAGCCCTGCCTGTGGGGTGACAGCTGAGTTGCTCCTCCTGTAACTCCCACTCAGGCTGTAGTAGCTCAAGTACTGTTGCCTCCTCAGAGCTCCAGTCCCAGGCGCATCGCCTGTGGTCACACCAGTCAAACTACGCTCTGCTGCTTGGAAAGCTTTAAAAGACCCAGGTAGCTGGTGGGAGAAAGAGGCTTTTCTAAAGCAGAATATCTCAGCATCCTTCATCCATCTGGTTTCATCACCTGCCAGCCTCTCGAGGAGCTCACAAGC